GGAGTACATAGCGGTTTTAGGTTGTGATTTGACCAGGTTTTGTCGTTTAATAAAAGGGTTCACACCTGACAGAGAGTACTCATGAAATGGCACAGGTAGGTTTATCTTCTTCCACTGTTGGTATTACTTCCACATGCAATTAAAGCATTCGGCTGGTTATGGACTTATATGATCGAAGGCATCCAATAATGTACGGAGATGCTTCATATTTTCATGATTTGTTTGGTAAATTTTTTTATTTTTTTTTATTTTTTTTTTGCTTTTAGTTTATGGATTGACTTTAAGTATTTGATTATTGGAATTGTTTTGTAAATAGTTGTTTATATCAACCTTTTAAATTGAAAATTAAAATCCAATAATGTACGGAGATGCTTCATATTTTCATGATTTGTTTGGTAAATTTTTTTTTTTTTTTTTTTTTTTTTTTTTTTTGCTTTTAGTTTATGGATTGACTTTAAGTATTTGATTATTGGAATTGTTTTGTAAATAGTTGTTTATATCAACCTTTTAAATTGAAATTTTTTAATTTTGAAAAAGGTACTTTTTTTTTTTTTTGAAAGTCAAAAGGAGAATATATTGCATTAGGTTGCATGCTGAATCAACAAAAGGAGGAGCGTCCCTCCAGACAATACTTGAGGTGACCGCACTTACATGCTTTGCAAAAGAATGAGCCGTCCAATTAACGTCTCTACTAGTAAAACAAATCAAAGAACCAGACATAGAGCTAACTAATTGAGCGCATGAACATTAAGCAAAACCAACATAAGACCGAAATGAGTGCACACTACTAAGGCTCAAGACCAAAATTGAGCAATCTGAATGAACCTTGACATCTGAGAAACCTTCGTCTTTCAACCATGATAGCGCCTCACACATTGCCATTGCCGGCCTCCGCCAAGAGTGGGTCATATGGACATGACAACGGACCGTTCACGGCTGCCACAAACGAACCATCCGACTCACGCACGATGAAGCCGAAAGTTGGAGACTGATTGTGGTTATGAAAGGCGCATCAACCCAGCAAGAATGACCCGAAGCCACTTGAAAAGGGTACTTGAAATAACTTTTTCGGCATTGATTTTATTTTTGAGAAAAAAAGTTTCAATTCAAATTTAATTTCTTTAATAATACTCAAACTTCTCTTCTCAAATTGTTCTTCTCATTTTAGAAAAATATTTTAAAAAACATATTTTTATTTTAGTTTTAAATTATAATGTGTTTGTTTATGAAAAATAGTGGGAAAAAATGTTTTTTTTTTATATTAAAGTTCTTTAATTTTAAATATTATTTTTATAAAGAATAATTATTAAAAGATTTTTTTATATGTAATTATCAATAATTAATAAATTATTGTTATTGTTGTGAAACTGGATGTATCCTTGCGTACGTGAACAATGTATGATTTCAATTGCAGTAAAGTACAGAGTAATAAGGTAGAGAGGAAGACGGCAAATTATGCCCTGGACCCGTGTCCACAATGAATTGTGGACACGGGCCCAAAACAACGTCGTTTTTCAAAAAAAAAAAGCGTCATTTAGTTATAAAAAAAAAATAAATAAATAAAATAGCACGCGTTTTGCCGTTAACAGCGTTAACGGCGTTATTTTTTTTTGGATTATGAATGTACAGTTATGCCGTTATGAATGTATAGTTATGCAATTATGAAATTATGAACACAGAGCTCTAAAACTACGAACTTACAATTATGAACATATATAGTGATAAAATTATGACCATGGAGCTTTAAAATTGTGAATATAGAGCTTCGAAGATTATGAATGTATAGTTATGGAGTTATGAATGTACAGTTATAGAGTTATGAATCTACAGTTATAGAGTTATGAATCTACAGTTATGAGATTATGAATCTGCAGTTATGGAATTATGAATGTACAGTTATTGATCGAATTATGAACAAAGAGCTCTAACATTATGAACTTACAATTATGAACATATAGTGATAAAATTATGAACATAGAGCTTCGAAAATTATGAATGTACAATTATGGAGTTATGAATGTACAGTTATGAAGTTATGAATGTACAGTTATGGAGTTATGAATATACAGTTATAGAGTTATGAATGTACAGTTATGGAGTTATGAATGTACAGTTATTAACATATAGTAATAAAATTATGAACATATACTCCTATAACGAAGCGGTCTGAAATTTAAAAAAAAAAAAGAAAAAAAAAGAAAAAAAAAAAAAGAGGAGATAACAGTGCCTAACGGCACTGTTACCCGTGTCCAGCAAGCATGCTGGACACGGGTCCAACGCATAACGATCCGAGGAAGACAGAGAATACAGAGAAGATAATAATGGATGCTCTTATTAATCATCTTTCAATCCAATATATACGTACAATATATACAAAGTTCTAATATGACTATCAGACTAATAAAGATGAAGATCGATGTATTATCATAGTAAAATACCTCTAATAATGTCCACATCTAATTATTTACAACAATTATAAAAATAATTTTATATCCTCAAAAGTCATTTTACATGTTATCAATTAAAATTAACAGTTAATTTTACCAAATACATCTCCACAAATAACTAATAACTAAACTAATAAGCCAAACAACTCCCCATATCTTCTAAAAATCATACGCTAATTTGCTCTTATTTATGTTTGATTTATACTTTGTATTCGAAAACTAAAATAAAGTAAAACATATCCACAGTAATCAAGATACTATTAAAAAAAAAAAGGAAAATGATATATTTGGTTCATAAATTATACTACTTTATGGATGTATAAACTTAAACCTATCCCCTACACTTGAGTAGTTATAATATTTAATTACAATGTGAATATATATTTAATAATATTTGATATTATTTCTAGAATTGTCTAGGCAGTTTAGATGGAACATATATTAGAATACAAGTGCCATCAGAAGATAAACCTAGATATCGATCTCGCAATGTTGAAATTGCAACAAATGTATTACGTGTATGTACACCTAATATGCTCGCAATGTTATAGAATGTTGTTTTTGGTTATTGAAAATGAGATGGGCTATACTTAGAAGCCCATCATTTTATCTGTTAGAATACATAACAGAATTATACTTGGATGTTGTTTGCTACATAATTTTATTAGAAATGAAATGAATGTTGATCCTGTGGATGATGAATTCGTACAAGGTAACAGAATGCATGAAGATGATGATATTGCACGAATAGTGCTTTCAGAAGTTAGGAATAATTGGAGGACAGAATTAACAAATGACATGTTCAATGAATGGATAACATCTAGAAATTAAGGACATGTTCATTGATGTTTGATTTTGTTTATGTTGGTGTTTTTTTAATGTGGTTTATGAACAATGTAATGTGTTTGAGTTTGATGAATAATTTATTATTTCAATTTATTTGATGAATATTTTGTTTCATAACTTACAGATCATTGTTTAATATTGTTGATAAGGAATAATGGTGATATGTTGATTATTAGAAAGTTGACCTGATATAATGATGATGATATATTAAAATTAGTAGTTGATTATGAAATGATGATTAATTGATGCCTAATAATAATAATAATAATAATAATAATAATAATAATAATATGTTTTGTATAAAGGCATTTATATCCTTTACCCGTATATTCCATTTCTATTCCTTAATCAACTAAACGTTGGAATACAATTCCTAAAGTCTATTCTTTCAGCGAACCAAATAACATAATACAATTCATATTTTATTCCTTATCTATTCCATTCTCTATGGAATAGCATTCATATTCCCTCCAAATTGATTCCGTGAACCAAACGGGCCATAAATGAATAAGAACAAAATGGTGTCATTTTGGACCAGGGAGCACAATGCATTGTACACCCTGGTCCACGATGGAGCGTTATGCCATGGAACCGTGTTCACCATTCATGGTGAACACGGTTCCAACGGTGTTAGTACACCGTTATCTTTTTTTTTTTTTTAATTAATTGCGTGATTTTTCTTCTTCATTTTCACATTTTGCGGTTTCTCTTTAATTTGAGGTGAATAATGATTTCGGACATTCATAAATTATGAATTCATGCCTGCACATTCACTTTGGAACCATGCCTACACATTCCCGTCCGAAATCACGGACATTCATAAATTATGAATCCATGCCTGCACATTCACTTTGGAACCATGCCTACACATTCACTTTGGAACCATGAGATTATGAATTTTCTGTTATGAGATTATGAATTTTCTGTTATGAGATTATGAATTTTCTGTTATGCGATTATGAATTTTCTGTTATGCGATTATGAATTTTTTGCGGTTTCACTTTAATTTGAGGTGAACAATGATTTCGGACATTCATAAATTATGAATTCATGCCTGCACATTCACTTTGGAACCATGCCTACACATTCCCGTCCGAAATCACGGACATTCATAAATTATGAAAATCCATGCCTGCACATTCACTTTGGAACCATGCCTACACATTCACTTTGGAACCATGAGATTATGAATTTTCTGTTATAAGATTATGAATTTTCAGTCATGAGATTATGAATTTTCTGTTATGAGATTATGAATTTTCTGTTATGCGATTATGAATTTTCTGTTATGAGATTATGAATTTTATGAAAATTCATAATCTCATAAAAGAAAATTCATAATTTGATCAACGCGCGCCGTTAACTCCACATCCGCGTTTTTTTTTTTTTTTTTTTTGCCTAAAAACGACGTCGTTTGGCCTTGTGTTCACCATTCACGGTGAACACATTTCCAGGGCATAATTTGCCGTCCACGATATAATTTGCCATGTTTTGCCCTTTAGACATAAATCATTACTATAAATTAAGTTACCCTATTTTTTCTTTGATAGACGACGGGGAAAAGACTTCTGCTTTTAATCTTTTATTATATATACATATAGCAATCTTCAACTAAATTAAAATATATCAATTAGAAAACAAATTGATAAAATAATTAACCTATTTTAATTTTCACCCAACAAAATTTGCAACCCCAAACACCACCAACGCGCGTGCTAACCATATCATCTCTCTCAGAGTCTCAACTCTCAACTACAGAGTCAACCATGACCGACGCTGTCATCTCCGGTGTTGCGGATCAGCTGTTCTTCATCATCAAGGACCAAGTCCAGGGGCTAAGAACAGCGTTGGGTGTGGAGAAGGAGATCCAAAACCTATCATCAAAGCTCAATAAAATCAGGGAGGTGTTGGATGATGCAGAGAGGAGAAGCTTTAAGGAAAAGGGCGTCAAGCTCTGGCTGGAAGAGATCCAAGACTTGTGCTACGAAATGGAAAATGTTCTCGACGAGTGGATCACCAGGACTCTCAGGCAACAGATCAAGAGACCTGAGGTTGCAGCTCCAGAAAGCTGCACCCCTTTCCTGCCTTCATGTTTCCATTTGAAAAGGGTTGTTATGCATCGAGACATCGCCAAGAAAGTAAAGAAACTTGATTCGAGACTTGATCAGATTATGAAAGTGAAAGATCTGTACAATTTCGTTGCTGTAACTCACACTTGTGATCAAGCACCGAAGCGAGTGGCCACTACTTCGTTTGTGGATGCATCAGAGATTCAAGGTCGGGATATTGATGCCAGAGATGTAATAAGAGAGTTGGTGAAGAAGGATGACGGAGAAGAAGCAAGAAATGGCCCCCTTGTTATTTCCATAGTGGGCACGGGAGGGATTGGAAAAACTACCCTTGCTCAGTTAGTCTATGGGGATGAACAAATAAAGACTCGTTTTGATGAAAGGCTATGGGTTTGTGTTTCAGACCCTTTTGACGAGATGAAGATTGCAAAAGCCATTGTTGAGTCAACCACCAAAAGCTCCACAGATCTGTCTCAATTACAAGTATTACTGGAAAAAATTCAAAGCATTTTGTTTGATAAAAGGTTCTTGCTTGTGTTGGATGATGTATGGACAGAGCAGTCTGAAAAGTGGGAGCCATTGAAGAACTCTCTCAAGGTTGGACTCCCAGGCAGTAGAATCTTGGTGACCTCAAGGAGTGAGAGGGTTGCAAGAATGATGGGAAGTGTGTATCTGCATCGGATGGAGTTAATATCCGACTTAGATGCATGGTTGTTGCTTAGCAGGATAGCATTTTCTGGGAGAGGGGAGATGGATTGCGAGAAACTGAAAGATATTGGTCAGAAAATTGCTCAAAAGTGCAGAGGATTGCCACTTGCAGTTAAGGTCATGGGAAGCCTGCTACGTTGCAAAGACACTGAGGAGAAATGGCAAGATGTTTTTGATAGTAAAATTTGGGAGATGGAGGAAGTGGAAACATATCTCTTTCCTCATTTGTATCTAAGCTATGATGATTTAACACCAAAGATGAAGCAATGTTTTTCATATTGTGCTGTCTTTCCCAAGGATTACGAAATAGAGGTAGATAAGCTGGTCAGAATTTGGATGGCACAAGGTTATTTGACAACAACAAATGGTAGTGATCAGAATCAGATGGAACTGAAAGGCCGGGAGGTTTTTGAGAATTTAGTAATGCGTTCTTTGTTCCAAGATTTAAAGAAAGATTACAAGGAATCCAACATCATATCTTGCAAAATGCATGACATAGTACATGATTTTGCCGAGTTTCTTACCAAAAATGAACGCTACAGTGTTGGCCAGCATGAAGATAAGGTGAGAATTGAAAATCTACATCATTTGTCGTGGCAGAAAACGGGAAGGCCTATGGATCCTGCTTCTATTTGTGACGTTATTGGAAAACTTCGTAGCTTTTTTGTTGAAGAACTTTCTCCAGAACAACTTACTCCTGATCTGCTCAATGGTCTTAAATCTGTGAGAACTTTAGGATTGCATCGTTGTAAGTTTCATAAACTCCCAAAGGAGATAGGAAATTTGCTTCATTTAAGGTACATTGATTTAAGTGATAGCAATGTAGAAGAGTTACCTGATGCAATTTGCTTTTTGGATAACTTGCAAACTCTAGATCTTGGAGGGTGTGAATGTCTTTCTAAACTACCTGAAGGAATTGGAAATTTGCGTCACCTAAGGTACATTAATTTATGTTGGAGTAGAGTAGACGAGTTACCTGATTCAATTTATTCTTTGGATAACTTGCAAACTCTAGATCTTAAAGGATGTGGATGCCTTTGTAGACTTTCTGAAAAGATTGGAAATTTGCATCAACTAAGGTACATTGATTTAAGTTGGAACAAAGTAGAGGAGTTACCGGATGCAATTTGCTCTTTGGATAACTTGCAAACTCTTAAGCTCAGAGGATGTAAGCGTCTTTCTAGACTACCTGAATGGATTGGAAATTTGTGTCATCTAAGGTACATTGATTTAGGTTGGAGCAACATAGAGAAATTACCTGATACAATTTGCTCTTTGGATAAATTGCAAACTCTAGGTCTTGCAGGGTGTAGGCATTTCTCTAAACTACCTGAAGGGATTGGAAATTTGCATCACCTAAGGTGCATTGATTTAAGTTGGAGCAAAGTAGAGAAGTTACCTGATGCAATTTGCTCTTTGAATAACTTGCAAATCCTAGATCTTGCTGGATGCGAGTGTCTTTCTAAACTACCTGTAGGGACTGAAAATTTGCGCCATCTAAAATGCATTGATTTAAATGGGAGCAAAGTGGATGAGTTATCTCAGTCTCAATGCAACCATGAGTGGGGAGGAACAGCGCATCAACAGAATTGAATTGAATGATCTATCCAATCTTCTAGAAGGCGTGTTAGAAAGAAAGCAACTCGATCATGAACCGTATGATCTAATCTTCTATGTATTTCCTACTTTAAATCCTTTACGTACTCATTCATAAACGTGCGATTTCTTAGTCACTGAGTGTTGTCAATGGACTTGACCCCAGGACCTACAAAGTTTTAACATCGACTAATAACTAAACCATCTAAACATTTATAACTAGTATATATAATGCATTTTAATTTATAAGTCACTGTTACACACACACACACATATATATATATATATAGAATTGTACTCTGGTGCGAATGGAGCGCCCATGTGCGAATATGCGATTGTCTGATATCCGTTCACGTGTCCAAATCAGATGGACGAGAAACACGCATTTTTTAAAAAAATGCGGTGGCATTTTCGTAAATAATTGAACATCGAAATACAAATAAAATATATTATAGGTGCAAGTAAAATTTACACTGAGCATCAATACTAAGTACACCTATAGTTATAAGTAATTGCACCTAGGTGCATGAATGTTTGCGGGTGATATTCACGGGTACTACTATCCGCTGAACTCCTCGCAAGAATAAAAACGATGTCAAACAAAACGAACTCAGATAATGAATGTTAACAAGACAAAATTACATGCACTTGCAGGCGAAAGTAAGTGCACTTGTAAGTGAAAGTAGGTGCACCCGATCAATAAATACTGACACGTGGCGCGCGCTGATTTGTTCGCATTTCTCTCCTAGACACCTATTCGCACCTGAACGCGACCATATATATATATATATATATATATATATATATATATATATATATATATATATGTGTGTGTGTGTGTGTGTGTGTGTGTGTGTGTGTGTGTGTGTGTGTGTGTGTGTGTGTGTGTGTGTGTGTGACACATATACACACACACACACATATATGTGTGTGTGTGTGTGTGTATATGTGTCACATATATATATATATATATATATATATATATATATATATATATATATATACATACATATATATATATACATACATATACATACATATACATACATATATATATACATACATATATATATATATATATATATATATATATATATATATATATATATATATATATAAAGACAAAAATATCATTACTAAAAATAAGAAAAGTCATGAAAAGGACTAAAAGTGTTCAAAAAACACTAGTCTGGGATGTTAAATGGCAAAAACGATAATCTGAGACTAAATTTTGAATTGCCACCAAAGATAAGGGACCTCTAGTGGAATTAATTCTTTCTAAATATATAAATTTTTATATTAATACTAAATTTAATATTATAAAAAAATTAAATTAAAAATAACTTCAGTACAGTCAATCGTCGTTAACCGAACCAGACACATAAAATGGGTCGGAGGGAGTATTTTTTAGTTACTTTTAAATTTAATTTTTTTTGTTTAATAGTATTTTTAGTGTAGTTTTTAAATATATAAATTTGGTATACTAATACTAAAATTAATATTATGAAAAATTGGATTAAAATAACTTTAATCAAGCCTCGTTACTTGAACCATACACATAAAATGGGAAAGAATGCGTATTATTTTTTGAATCTCCATCCTAAAAGAATATGAATGTCATACTATTTTATTTTTTTAAAGTACTATTGATTTTATTATAGTGTAGTATCTGTTCAATATACTTTTCTCAATCAATTGTAGCCCAAAGAGTTAATAACCCACCACCGGGGTTCGTTCATGTGACTTTCCCTCAAAGGAGTCATACTATAATTATTCTAAAAACAAATTGTATTCTCTTTGTTTAAATCAAACATTATTTGTTGTAGCAAAAATTTTAATTTTCTATTTCAAATCTATATTGTTTTAATTAAAATGTACATCTTATAGAGAAAAAAATATTTCAAAATATCAATGAGAACTTACAAGATGAATAGTTCATATATAACAATAATTGAGGTCTCAATCATATGCACAATGAAAACTTATGAATTTTTATTATTGATTTTAATTATGAGTCTACCACAATACTCATATTTACTACGGAGTACTATTTTAACTAGTATTTTCACTCGTGCGATGCACGGAATATATTTGTTATAATATATTAAGAATATTTTGGTCGTTATACAATTATTTAAATTATAACATCAAATATTATATAGTGCAATTAAAGATATGGTTTGGATCATTTATGTTTGTTGATGCAATCATTACTTGAATTCGAGTAAATAATTGTTCAAATTAATAGCTAATGTGTAGATGTATGCATGTGGTGCTGTAACTTTAGAGATTTTATATATCATTGTTTAAGATTTTTATAAATTAGGCAAATGTGCTCGTTTTCTAGCAAGTTAGTTATAGTAATCAATTGTTATCCTAATTTATTTGTATAGATCGAGGAAATTTTTTGGTCTAGATATATAGCAATTTTGTCATTTTGAAAAAAAAAAACATAATATCAACGATTGTATTTACACATTATTGAAAACCTCTTTGTAGACGAAATTCGTAGTCACAACACAATATTGTCCATCCTCGTCTAGAGCTAACACCTTCAGGCCATCAAGATGGGTGACTCGGGAGAAAGTCACATACAATTGTCCGTGATTAAAGACTTGTTTTTAGTGTTTGACCTTGGCTTTTGTTGATAGTCATGGCATATGCAAGCAACACGGGAATTGTTTATGTTGGAACTTGAAGGGCAATCTCGTATCAGAAGGAGTTAGAGACAATCGGGGGATAAGAACTTTGGTTCCTTCATGTGTCCCATTAACTATTCTTGCTTCGACAATGTGATCTGTCAATCTTGTGATGATGAGTCGCGTCCCGATACAAATACCAAGAGAGTAGACTATATATGTTCCGCAATAACATAACATGTGCACCGACCTTTAATGTCAATGAATGATTAGGAAGACTCGACAATCTCAAACTATTTAAGAATTTAGGAGTGTGTACTTCTGATAGATTTTCATTGTCTGATTCTGTCTTACACAAAGAGTCACAACTTAAATATGTTTGTCCTTCTGCAGTATTCATGTCGCATATGTGCTGATTAATTTGATCAACGACATCTAAAGTCGGCGAGATGATCGCTCGGCCTTCTAGTTGTGACTCATGTCATATATCGAGCTTGGGAAGGTGCTTTCCACTATAGTTGATATGGGATCGTGTCCACACTTCAACAAAAACCGTGCCAGAATATCAATCTCAAATGAACCGCCATTTACAACCTCTACAATCCCACCTCCGATATCTGCAATCCATTTTGAAAACTAATCAACTGTCTGTCTATCTTCCTCTGAAACTAAGGTCCGTAGTCTCAAGTTCTTTGTGAACCTTAATACCTTGCAATTTGTCCACATGTATGAAGAACTAATAGTTGCTCCGACAACTACTGGTCTTGTTGTTTTCGAAATAACAAGTAGGATATGTCTAAAATTGCAGCCCAAAACTATTGTCTTTCCACTAAAAGTCTTTTCAGCATTACCTGCTATGACGAATCTCAATAGATCCCTCATGGTTTTATCCAAAGCCTCAAAACAGTGTTTGTGCGTCATCAGTGCTTCATCCCATATTATCAATTTGCTCATTATTATAAGCTCAGCAAGTTCAATGCATTACAATATATTGCATGTGGAATCTTCGTGCAAAGAGAGTGGTATAGAAAATCTGGAATGCGTTATCCTACCTCCCGACAAGAGCAAAGATGCTATTTCACTGGAAGCACATTCAGAACAATATCACCCCGACTCTTTATATATATATATATATATATATATATATATATATATATATATATATATATATATATATATATATATATATATAACCATAAAATTACCATAGTAATTACACAAAAATATAGAAATGATAATTTATTTACTTCTCATAATTATACCTTAAGTATATAAAAAATATATAGATTATCATAAAATTAATTTTAATAATTATATAAAAAAAATCCAACGACCCATGTTTAAAGTAATTAGTAACTTAATTATCATAATAATTATTAGTCAATTATACTAATATATGTGTAATTAATTCTTTATTATATTATTATATTATTATTATTATTTTCTTTCTGTTAGTATATAATGATCATGGACACAATAATAATATAACCACAATTAAATATTCTTGTATTTTATATTCTTCTAAGATTTCTATTACCATCATTAATTATTTTATAGTTTACCATAATTAAATAATTTGACCAATACAATGAGTTTGGGCGGGAAAATTCTAGAAGGAGGATTTTACTTTTAATTATATATAGATATAGATATAGATAGATATATAGATTGTCCTATTGTATTACGAATATAAATTTTAATGTAGAATTATAGTACGAATATGAAAGTAGAAAACAATATATTCTATTAGGAATTGTATTACACTATTTTATAATATTAGAATATGAATTTTAACCTAGAATTATAGTACAAATAGAAAAGTAGAAAACAATATATTTTATTAGAAAGCGATATTTTTTAAGAATTGGGCAGGAAGTTAAAGTTAAGGATTTTGTTTTTATATGTAGTACTAGTTTTTCTACGCGCTTTGCGCGAATAGGATAATGCCCAATACTTATTTTTAAATAAATATTTCAAAGTATATCAATGCAATATTATATAGAAAATGTTCATGCATAGGTAAATAAAAGTTAAATTTGTTTATTTAAATCGTTAATTTAAAGTATATAAATGCAAGATAATATATGAGAGATTGATTATATATAACTGTCACAAAAATAAATGTTTGCAACTTTGTAATAACGCTAATCTAAGTACTAAGTCTAAAATCGATAGTCTAAATAAATACTCCATACTATTTTTGGTTTAAATTTTTCTTATTCTCTTTTAGGTAGCATTGTTATTGTTTTCATCTTCAGTACATGTCTTCTTTTTTTTTTTTTGGTTATTGGTAGTGTGTCATGTGCAATTGGGTTATTGGTAGTATCATAGAGGGATTCATCATGCAATGAGATTATGATGTATGAAGTTTTAGTTTGTCTTGTTGTGTATATGACTGCGATCTTAGTTGTGCTATAAACTCTTTATCTTACAAGCACATGTTGATATTTGGTAACGGTAGTTTTTCCCTACATGTTTCATGTGTTGTGAGACA